GGTTTTTCACTGCTTGATGGTGCCACGTCGAAATAAAAGTCATTTTCTCGCTGACAGTTGGGACCATTTTACCAGCTATTACTCTCATCCATTCTGGTCAGTGAATACAGACGATAATGAGAGTGGGAAGCAGTGAAGGGAGACATTCTTGGGGGTTTTGTATGAGTGACGCAGCACAGGTTTTCAGGTGCCTGCAGCCTGTGTCTCATTCACCTCTGACAATGTCAGTGTGAGTGTGAGCTAACAGATCAACTTAATTAGCATTAATTAATACAATTGAGAAAATAACTAGTTATATAACCCTAACGCAATACCAAATGAAATTAAAATAGGTGTATACATTCACTTTTGATTATATACATATTATAATCAAATATAATTTGTGTAGGACCCTAATATAGAGAGAGAGCACTGTAGGATTCACCATTACAAATTATTTGTTTTATGGAGATAGGGGGCTGGCTGGCTGGCAGGCTAGAACCTGATCACAAAAGTGGCTGAAAGAGTTTTCTAACTTGTGACATTGGATAATCTGACTGCATAAAGTCTGAACCAGAGTTTTAAGGACAGGGCAACGAGTGAATGAGATGTGTGTGGATAGCTCTCACCTCAGATGAGGCAGCCATGCCCTCTGTCCAAGCTCTGGTTATCCAAATGGGGGCGTATTCAAATAAATGGCTTGTGCTTAGTGGCACATGAAGCGACCATGGGCGCCGAAAGATTGGCGAGCCTAGACGCCTAATACTAACAAGGACAGAGGGACAGGGCAGCGTTCTGACCAGTCAGATGCTGATGTTTTGGTTTAATGAATATTTTTTATCATGTATTGGATGTAAAGGAATTTTTGACAGGATTTATTATGCTTAAAGTAGGAGAGTTTGCCTGAGGTTCTACCACACCTGTGCTTTTCCTGAAGTCCACAATGATCTCCACTGTGTTCTGGCCGTTCAGCTCAAGGTTGTTACCACTGCACCAGGACACCAGCCGGTGTCCTGGTGCAGTGGTACCCCTCCTCTAGGCGGACTCATCGTTGTTGGAGATGAGACCAACTTGATCAGCTTCACAGAGTCGTGGCTGGAGGTGCAGTGGTTGGTGTACAGGGAGAAGAGCAGGGGAGAGAGAACACAGCCCTGTGGGGTTCCTATATTTATAACCCGAGAGTCTGAGACGTTCTTCCCAAGACGCACTCGAGTACAGATCTCGTTGTTTAGGGAAAACGAGTGCACACACACACACACACTCTCTTTAGTAATGAGCGTAAGAGCGCTGAGAAATTAATGAATGAGAATGAAAGAATGAAAAGTGTGGAGTACGAGCAGAGCGACCGGTCCCAGAGGCAGTGGCGGCCGGCCAATAGAGGGCGCTAGGGCGCCGCCCCACCACTCACAACTTGCCATGTTACCTTGAATAAAACGTAAAAAAAAATAATAACATTAAAATATTTCGAAATTTATGTGTGTTTTATTTCAGATGTGGAAGAAATACTTTATAGTTTATGCTGAGTTGGATTGATTAAGCTCATCAGCGTTGTCTGTGTCGGACTGAGGACGTATTTCCGCCTCAGGGCGCAAAAGATTGCGCCCTGAGCCGTCTATGGACTCTCGTTAAAAGTTGTACATGCGCAGTAGCTCCTCTTCAATGCAAGAGATTAGACGATTTGGGGGCGCAGGAGAAGTGCGCCCTGAGGGGGCGGGATCGCCCGCGACCTGTACTGTTCACTGTCTGTGACGTCTGTTTACAGTGATTGACAGGTCAAGCTGTGGGAGTTTGAGACGAACGTAAAGAGACGCAAAATGGAGAACGAGAAAAAGAATAATTCAGTTAGATCACTCAAAACAATACCGTTTGAGAGAAGATCATACCAGGAGAAGGTTGAGGTTAAAGAGCTTGGACCTGATCAGCCAAATATTACCATTAGTCAGCAGTCCAGCAACAGGGGGAGACGGTACACTCGTACTTTTTCCAGGACCTGGTTCAGCGCCAAATCTTGGCTAGCAGCATGTAGCGAGGCTAATGCTTTATTTTGCTTTCCATGCCTCTTGTTTCAAACATCAGGATCTGACCCAGCATGGATCAAGACAGGTATGACTGATCTGAAGCACTTTTTAGAAAAGGCAAAGAAGCATGAGCAGACTGGTATCCACATGCAAAATGCCCTCATATTAGCTATGTTTGGGAAGATAAATATTTCATCCCAGCTGGATGAAAGCTACAGGGTAGGGATCAGAAAGCACAATGAGGAGGTTGACAAGAATAGGCACATCCTATCAAAAATAATAGACTGTGTCAATTTTTGTGGTGCATTTATATCTAGTCATCATATTCATAGCCCCCCCAGTAGAAAATTCCACCAGCCGCCACTGCCCAGAGGACCGGTGTGTGTGTGTTGGTGTGTTCTGAAGATTAAATAAAGACTGATTCTGAAGTATTATTGCAACAGCACCACACTGAGAGCGAGGGTCAAAACGGAGGGAGTTATTCCCGTAGGAAACGCTTCCCTTTGGCACTGCAGCGACACTCCCCCCTGCACCCCTCGACCACGGTCTGGGGCTTATATGAAAGGTTTGACACAAGCAGAGAATGCAAAAGTGCAGGGAGAGTGTGTTAAAATGCCCGTCACAACGGAAGACGTAATGTGACGCACAATATCATGTCCCCACCACACCTCATCCCCCACTCCCCGGCACACTGACCCCCCTCATCCGCGCTGCGAAGTGTGTGCTCTGGCCCAAGTCTTGAACCGGGCTTGAGCACGATTGCAGGAATTGTGCTCAAACCCACATGCCGCGGTCACATGGGACCTAAAGCCCACTTAAACCGGGCTTTAGGCTGCACATGTGACCGCAGCCTAAGAGGACTGGATCTGATGCCCTCCTTCCCTCCCCATGTTTGCTCCTGCTACATTTCAAGTTCTGTGATCTGATGTTGATGTTGTCACAGTTTTAATTCTGTTTTCCTGGTTACAATTGAAAACCAGATGTTTTACAGACTCAGGCAGGATCAGGTTTATTGCTGGCTCTACAGGCCTTGTAAAAGTGTCTGTCTGTATTGTTGCAGTCGACAAACTCATGGTCGAATACACCGTACCTGTATGAAATCAGAAATAACAGGTCTTTAATCATGTCTATAATTTTTTATCCCAAAAAATAATCTGTATTGACTTATTTGTTACAACTGAAAGATCTATTTATTTTGGTTCAATATTCATCTGTTATTTTTTTGCAATGTTAGATCATTGTTATTGTGCAGCACAATGTCTGCTCACTAAGAAGGTCTGGGACTGACCTTCTGTTCTCCCCCTGTCTGCATAGGTTTCCTCCACATGCTCAAGTTTCTACCACTAAAACCATGTACTTTAAGCTCCTATCCTCTGAAAATAAAAAAAATAACATTATACAATGTCAGCAGGGCTATCCTGGTAGAATAAAGATATACAAAAAAATGATTATAAACAATTATATAGGATTCGTTGTTGAGGGTTGCGCATGTAACTTGTCATAAGATCACTAGATTTCTTAGTAAGGTCTTTTTTGGATGTTTATGCTTTAGAGCAGGCATGTCCAACTCATTTTGATTGGGAACCAAATGTTTAAAAACAAGAGGTAGTTGGGGCCAGAAATATAAAAAAGGTTTTCTTTTTGCATATTTTTGTTAAAAATCACAACATTACTGGTATTTGACATGAGTTTTACTATTTATTTCTAGTAGGTTTGGATTAAACCATAACTGGGCCAAACATCAAAAAGAGATGTTTTTGAAGGCTGATAATTAAATATACAAAATTATGAATAATTAAATAATCATAACTTCTAATTACATTTCAGTTACCGTATTAGAACATATCAAATTATATGGTTGATTTCCAGAGACAATAGACTTTAAAATAAAACGTATAACATGTAGCGCTGTCAAACGATTACAATTTTTAATCGAGTTAATTACAGCTTAAAATTAATTAATCGTAATTAATTGCATTTTGAGCTATCGGCAAAATGATGATTTTTTCTGTAAATGTTTGTTTGAATGGAAGGATAAATGATGACATAGTGTATATATGTACTGTTTTTTTATTATAACAATAAATCCAGATAAAATGGCATTAACATTATTAACATTCCGTCTTTTTGTAGTAGTTCTCGGTCTGTGGCTGTGGATCCATCCATCCATTTTCTTCCCCTTAATCCATTTCTGGGTCGGGGGGGGGGGGGGGGGGGGGGTGGCAGTCAGAGCTGCACCCAGTGCACAGAGCCTAAAGGCCAATGCTCTACCAACTGAGCTTCTGTCGCCCCACTACGGCTGTGGATGCTCTTCATTATTGTCTCTACAAACTATTGTTTGTTACAGGGATGAGGGATATTTGAAAGCAGTCTGAAATGCATGTCAGCCAATGGCTGTCATTAACTCTGTTTTATTTGCTCACAGCATTTCATTTTTGGCCACAAATAACATGAAATGGTAATGCAAAGGAAAAGTTAGGTATCCCAGCTTTAATTTAGCGTCTTTTTTGCTTCGGGAGAAGACACGGGGGAGACGGACGGTTTCTTGCAGCACTGTTTTTATTGGGTGTTTACGTATACTACCCAAGGATACATTCTGGTGTATTTTCAGCACTACTGTCCTAAAAAATAAAAGAAGATAACACAAAATGTGTATGCAAAATTGTATCTACCCCATATATCTTTTGTCTGTGCTCATAAACACAATTCAATCTGAAGAGACCAAAGACACGATTAATACATTAAAATGATTTATTTATTTGGCGCATTGACCCCGGCAGTGACACTTGCAGCGATGAGATCGACTGCAGCTGAAGATGATCTCAGATCCCCCGGGGTCAAGCACTGGTGGTGGCTAGAGTATGGTGTGAATGGGGCGTAGGCGGAGCGGGAGCCAGAGCGGGAGCCAGAGCGGGAGCCAGAGCAGGAGCCGGAGGAGGTGCTGGGGAGGTGGTGGGTGTTCAGAGCTTCAGGAAGCGTTGCTTGTCAGGAAGTGGCTGCCTTTTAAACTTCCCGCTTTGCCGTCAGAGGGCTGGGTGATTGGCCGGGCTGGTCGGGCTGGGTGATTGGCCGGGCGGGGTGATTGGCCGGGCTGGGTGATTGGCCGGGCTGGGTGATTGGCAGAGGCTGGGTGATTGGCAGAGGCTGGGTGATTGGCAGAGGCTGGGTGATTGGCCGGGCTGGGTGATTGGCAGAGGCTGGGTGATTGGCCGGGCTGGGTGATTGGCAGAGGCTGGGTGATTGGCCGGGCTGGGTGATTGGCAGAGGCTGGGTGATTGGCAGAGGCTGGGTGATTGGCAGAGGCTGGGTGATTGGCAGAGGCTGGGTGATTGGCAGAGGCTGGGTGATTGGCAGAGGCTGGGTGATTGGCAGAGGCTGGGTGATTGGCAGAGGCTGGGTGATTGGCAGAGGCTGGGTGATTGGCCGGGCTGGGGTGATTGGCCGGGCTGGGTGATTGGCCGGGCTGGGTGATTGGCCGGGCTGGGTGATTGGCAGAGGCTGGGTGATTGGCCGGGCTGGGTGATTGGCAGAGGCTGGGTGATTGGCAGAGGCTGGGTGATTGGCAGAGGCTGGGTGATTGGCAGAGGCTGGGTGATTGGCCGGGCTGGGTGATTGGCCGGGCTGGGTGATTGGCCAGGCTGGGTGATTGGCCGGGCTGGGTGATTGGTTGGCTTGGAACGGGGAATTTGCACTCGGTCTTTCAGTATGAATTTGCGCGTTCAGCTTCATTTTACAAATCATATTTAGTCTTATCTGATCAAGGATTTAATTTGGATTTGTCTGTAATAGGAAAAAAAATACTATTTTGTACTATTTATTAGCTGTGTTACTATTGGAATTCAACGTGACTGTTAATGTGACCATCATGAGGATGGTAAGATGTCTGTTACTTCATATTCAATTACAAAGTAATCACCAAAGTGTTATTTGGCACATTTCACTTCATAGTCAATTAGGGCTGGGCGATATGGCTGAAAACTATTTCACAATATAAGTGATTCGTATTGGTTGATATAGATGATTATTGATTGCTTTAAAAAAATAAAAAATGCATACATTTGTTGTGGTTTAGTCCTGGTTTAGCTCCTGTTTTGGCAGTTTGAGTTTTTTCTTTGTCTCTGGCTGCGCACTTGTGTCTCCGTGACCACTCTGCGGCTCTCTGATAGCCACACGTGCTTTCAGAGGAAAAAGTCAATCTCTTGCTTTTGCAGCATGCATCGAGTCGCGGCACCCACTGCCTCTGCCACACATGCTATTCCTCACACGGACGTGCATAACCACAGCATCGAAACTCGACGTCCTGTTTTTTTCTGACCGAGTGAAGTTAAACTATCAAACATTCTATTGACCCCATTGTCTATTGATATCGAACACGTGTCTATCGCAATATATATCGTTATTGTTTTATTGCCCAGCATTATAGTCAATCCAGACAAATGCACAGATTATGCATTAAACTATTATTCCATTGTGCAGTGTTTCGGTCTTGACTTATCTTTCCATTTTAACTGTGACACCATGATTTTGCCGTGGGCGGCACGGTGGCTGAGTGGATAGCACTCTCGCTTCTCAGCAAGAATGTCCTGGGTTCGAATCCCAGTTAGAACAGGGCCTTTCTGAGTGGAGTTTGCATGTTCTCCCTGTGTCTGCGTAGGTTTCCTCCGGGTGCTCTGGTTCCCCTACCCCTAAAACCATGTACAATAGGTCTGGCATGTGCCTCCTGTACTGGCGACCCCGCTCCCATCTCTGTTTGGAGTGAGAGACAAATGCCCAACAATTCTAAACCGCTTTGTGACCCTGGTCTGAGAAAGGCGGTATATAAATAAAGATTACTTACTTACCATGTGCACATAAGAATACTAAAAATTCAAGACTAAATTGAATGTTGCTTGCACATTTTAATGAGTCGCATTGCGCTGAATTCTGTTCCATTTTACAGAATAAGAACTTGCTTACATGGATATCTCAAATTATTCTCTAAATGTCAAGTTGCTGCATGATTCCACTCAGAACCCCACATAGTTCATGCTTTTCTACTTCTGTCGCCAAAGGATGAAAGTGAAACTTTTATAGCTATTGTTTCATATTCAGACACCGTCTTGTGCGCCGCTGTCTGTGCGCAATGCCATGCGTAATGATCCTCCTGCTGTCACCAGAAGACAGGGGACCAAAACGTAAATCTCCCGCTGTTCCAAAGGATTGTTACTGCGCGTTACGTCAAATAGATGGCATTTATAACCGTTAACGTGAACAGAAGAACGCCATAGTCACAAAGAAGGACAGAGTTTTGACGTCTTCAATGTGGGAACACGCCCTATTGAATTGCAAAGTTGGTAATAACTGTTATTGTTTATTACTTTCATGTCACTGCGGATTGTTACTTAGATTGCAGCAGTCGTGGACCATTTCAATGGAAAAATAGTCCCATAAGTCATTGGGTATTATATAATTATTAGGCAAGGCAAGGCAAGGCAAGTTTATTTATATAGCACAATTCATACACAAGACAACTCAAAGTGCTGAACAAAACAAGGAAGCATTAAAATCATAAATTATCACAGTACATTAAAAAGAAAGATAAAAATATAAAATCCCTCAGTTGTATGCACAGTTAAACAGAACTGTCTTTAACCTGGTTTTAAACATTGTCAGAGAGGAGGCCTGTCTCACCAGATTTTAGCAGCATGAATCTGAAAAGCAGCCTCCCCATGTTTAGTTCTGACTCTGGGCACTAACAGGAGTCCAGTCCCTGTGCTCCTCAGAGTCCGGGCTGGTTCATATGGCACTAACATGTCACTAATATATTTTGGTGCGAGGCTATGGAGAGACTTGTACACAAGCAGAGCTGTTTTAAAGTCTATTCTCTGAGCCACAGGAAGCCAATGCAGAGACCTGAGAACTGGACTAATGTGGTCGTACTTCCTGGTTCTAGTCAGGACTCGAGCTGCTGGTTGATCTCGATGATCAACCAGCGTGGTGGTGGACCATCTGTGCTACTGCAGACCAAATTCACTTGGGCAACCCAGGAAATTTCCCCATTGAGCTCAATGTTAATAAAAAATGATTCAAACTCAACTTTAGTGTCCTGAGTCCTCCTGCATTATTTTTTTTTTTTTGAAATCCGTTGATTTCTATACATCTAGACATCTATACAACAGACTCTGCTTACTCTTGTCCGCTCTAATCTGCTTGTGTGCAGGGTGGTGTCTCTTTATAAACACATAGGCCAGGCTGTGTACCAGCGCAGTGCTGCCCTCTAGAGTCAGCACAAACGGCGCACCTACTGCGCAGGACCGGGAGGACACCACAGTGAGACCATAGGCCATTGATTTGAAAGGGCAGACATCTTGGGCTGCCGGGGTTTTATCAAGTTTCAGCGACAGTGCTTGTAAGTGTAATCGTGTGAGGAAAATAATGCTTTTTAATGACCTAATCGGGTCATCCCAAAAGGACAACGTGGGCCAGCCCTCCTATGGCCTCTCCTCAAATTTGTGGGTTGGGTGCCGAAAGGACTGGCTGGTGGTCGAAGGCGGGAATATGACAACCCAGTCCACACGCACAGCTCAGCTCTGTTCACACTGCTGCCCTCGCAACCCGATAAGACAGATAACCGATAGATAGATTGAAGGAAATCGGATTGATGGACAAACACAAGAACAAATAATTACTGCAGATAATGCGGAATAAAATAAAAATCTGAAAATGCATAAACATGTATTAAACAAACCACCAACTCATCAATATGTTCTTTAGTCACATAATTTTTGCTTTGTTTTGTAATCATTCTTTACAGCCTACAGTGCCATCATGTGAACCTATATAGACTTTTGTAAAACACAGTAAAAAAACTGCATTATCAGCATTACTGAGAACTTCTTAAAAAAGCACTTGCCTGGAGATAAATCTGGACTGATGATGCGTTTTAAAATAACCTTACTAATTTCCTTTTCATCAGCACCACGGAGTGCTCTGGCCCTGCGCTAAATCAGTGTTGCAGAAGTGATTTGGAGGACTGTGGACTGAGATGTGATCAAAAAGCTGCAAAGGGACCAAGTCTGCACGCTACAGACACACACACACACACATGTTTGTCTATATCACATGGTAGGGACACAAGACAAGGACATGCATGGTGGGAACCACCCTTTCTGAAGGTTCTACAGCACTGAAAAAAATCAGGGAACATATTGGGGCAGCCAGGAAAACAGCTGTCACTTCCAATAATCAATCTGACAAAGTAAGAGTCCTGACCTGACAAGGTGCAGCTTCCTGGGGACTCGTCAGGTTTTTAGGCATAGATGGGGTCACCAATAGCACAGTGTCAGATTTTTGTGCCTTCCTTGGTACCACTTCACACACACTCAGGGTTAACTTACTCGGTAGGGACTTCAAAGACCAGTTAATTGGAAACAGTTGGTAACGGCTGTCATTTGTCAGAAAATATTACAAAATGACACAAATAGGATATATTTCACTTAAATAATTTACTTTACACAATAGGCCTTCTGTTGTATTAAAAATTAACTATGCAATGAGGGTGGTTTTATGTTAGCAGCTACTAAATAGCATATGTAAGCACTGGTTTATATACTATTCCTTCTGAAGTGCAATTATTTTTTACTATTAGTTGTGTGCATATATCTGCACTTAGTGCACTTTCATATAGTAAACTTAGGACATTTATGTAGATTTTTGTTAATGCATGCCTTTTATTTTATTCAGATTTAACTTGTTTGCAATGAGAGCCACTATCCTGCAAAATGTGTGACGATGTCACCAAAATCTCCCCACTGTGGGACAAATAAAGGATCTCTTATCTTAAAACTCAGCATAGGCAAAGCAACGAGGCCAAAATGTTTTAATAGTTAGACTCAAAAAATGGCCATCAAATCAGACAACATAATACACATGTCAATCTTAAGAAATTCTGACACAAAATACAATTGTATTTGAACAAACTTTTCCTAACCAGTAGACCGCATGAACAGCAGAGCTTACTGTAAGCAAAATATCTAACTTTCTTTTCAGAGCTGTAATGCGATTTTTCACATAAAACTTGATGCTTAGCCAATCTCTCTTTTTGAGAGCATTTCTTTCCATATCTAGACATTTATCACATTCACTTTTCCGTGGAACTCTGCAGGTTGTGATGAAGGACATCATGTGCCTTTCCACAGCAGCTATTTCCTCCTCGTCCCACTTTTTCTTACCAGGTTGTTTTCCTACAGATCAACAAACAGTAGTTTGGGTTTAACAGTTTTGAGCAACAAACTTCATTGACAAACTTCCAAGATTCATCAGTTTTACCCTTTAACCCTTTCATCTTATTTTATGTATCTGTAGTCTGCGTAGTTGTCACAGTGTCCTCCTCTGGTGTAGTGCGTGCAGTCTCATTCATTCTTGTGCCTGGATGCCCTGGGGGGGAAAGGGGCGGATTACAGGTAAGGCTGGGCCGTAAATTGAAAGATTGTACATTTAGGCCACAATTAAGTAATAATCACATAGATGTTTTGTGCATTTGTATAAGAAAATTGAATAAACCTTGAAAATGTACCTTTTGCCTCTTTCAGCATTTTTTGTTGTTTGTGTGTATCCGCAATCTGCGTAGTTGTCACAGTGTCATCCTCAGTACTGTACTGTACAGTCTCCTTCACTCTTGTGCCTGGATGCTCTAAGGGGGTAAAGAGGGGGATTACCGTTAGGGCGGTGACAAATATAAAGATCATGATTCTGGGAGAGCTTTATTAGTTCATTTTGACCCAAATAAATGTTCTCAGTCCAAACTTCAAAAAGGTTTTCAATTAGCCAATGTTATATTTTTTTCTGGCTGGTGCTATGAGACTTGGGTGGCATCTCTGACTGTCACCCCCCTGACCCAGAAATGGATTAAAGGGTAGAAAATGGATGGATGGATGGATGTTTATATTTTATATTCAAATGATTGGTGCCTTATTTATTCTTTATGATGTTGAACCAAGATTTAAAATCTAAGTGGGGGGATGGGGGCTTACCTTCCGCGTCCGACTCATGGTCTGTCACATGATCACATGAACCCCCAGGTTCTCCATCTTGGTCACTGTCAAAGTGCACATCCTCTGTGGAGAAAATGAAAGGAAGTGTATGATGGCTCATTTATATTAGAAAAAGCATACAAAAAATATGAATTTGAAAATAAAAGTATATGAATTTGAATGTTTTAATGTGTTGAGTGGCAATTTGCAAATATGAATACCACAATAACCATTTACCTTCTGGATCAATGTTAATGTCATCCAGCGACTTCCCCTTGAATGACGCTAAACGTCCCTGCTCCAGAGCCATGAGAAGTTTGCTGATCTTGGCAAGTTGGAGTGTTCCCTCAGGAAGTCTGTAGAACTGTCTATGTACTCTAATATCATGTCCCAAAAAATCCGCTAGTTGATCCAACTCAGTATTAGTGAGATTAAGGACTTGGGACAGAGTTCCAGTCTGTTTGCGCAGCTTCGTTGAAGTGAGACTTTCTGGGCTTTTAGCGCCACAAACATTTGCAAATTTCCGAAGACAATCAGAGCCTCGGTAACACATCAAACTAGAGGGTCTTGCAAATAGGTATGTGTTCTCTGGAAGAACTCCACATTCCTGTCTTTTGCCGATGAGCAGATCCAATGTTTGTTGCATTGTCGGAGTCAAAAGAACAGGTACCTTTCTTCCCCGTTTGCCTCTAATTTCCAGTCTTCGGAAGTGCTGACAGAGTCTTTTCTCTAAATCTGAAAGCGCAACAGTCACGTCTTCCTGTGGCTCTGACACATTAGGAGATGAATAGGCTGATAGAGACATTTTGGATACTTCTCCAGCCCTGCGTCTGTTAAACAAAATGACTTGGGTCAAAATGATCTTTGTCAGCTGCGTATACGTCTGGCTAGCGGTATCTGAGCTCAACTTTTGGAAAAGGTCTTGTTGCTCAGCATCCAAAAATGTATGTAGTGTCTGGACATCTTTCGTGAATGGTAGTAACTGTGGAGTGTTCCACTTGGACTCCTGAAGCGTTCTGAGAGACGCAGATGATATTAGCTCATTCCACCTAGATTCATAAACACTGCGGAATCTTCGAGCGTCATTTGCTGCACTTTCATCGCCTTGCACATTGGCACGGCTTTCAACAAGCAGGGACACTTTTTTTAAGCTGTATCCTATTTTTAAGGCTAGACTCGGGCAGCTGTAAGTACACTTCTCTGAATCGTACCCAGCAATCACTTGTACAGCTTGGACAAGATGCAAAAAATTTGCAGGTTTAATATGCTCTGCAATTGTCGTCAACTGAGTGTTTTTCCTTGAACACAGCAGCAGTCTTCCAAGCTCTCTCAGTTTCTGACGGATGTACTCGTGTTTGTTGTGATCATGCCCAAGCCTATTGTAGAGATGCTCACCATATTCTATTATGCAGGAATCAGACTTGACTGCACGGTACACATCATCATGCACCATGTTGTTGAGTAGCTTCCACAACTGATGCTTTATTCCAGGAGGGGGAGGTGTTGCAAAGCCACAGAGGGCCTGGACACGTGTTCTGCCGGGTTTCAATGGAATGCACGGTTTGAACTTGCACAGCTTCATGTGCCTCCAAAGGACTTTCCTCAGAAAAAGGCCCTGACAATATGAACAGTGCAGAAAGTTTTCAGCTTTAGCATCATCTTTGGGCTGCTTCCGTGGCACAAGTGTTCCAACGCCTGAATTCAAAACCTCAACATTGTGTGCAAAATTGCCCTTGTTTCTTAGATGTTCCATCTGCATTCGTCTTTCTTTTGAGTTTTTTGGGAAGGACACAGCCCGAGCTACTTCTAACTCGCTTTGATGGGCCCTTTCCAAATGCCTTGCCATCTTTATAACTCCCTCCTTACAGTATAAACAGTATTGCTTTTTGTTGTAATTTCTGGAGCCATTGTCTTTTTTACAAATAGCAGGTATGAAGAGTGAGTCACTTGAGGTATGTGTTTGCTCAGAATCTGCATTTTCCAAAATTGCTTCAGTGACTTGTCCTTGTGTTTTTTTTCCAGGATTGACATTGCTCGTTTGTGTTGAATTAAGACGTCTTCTACGACTCCTGCTTTGTTTTCTCACAGGCGATCTCCCTCTCTCACTTGTTGGGTTTAGAAAAGTAGTGTCCAGTCCTTGCAGTGATCGTGACCGTTTTCCCATATCCGGAAATCTAAGCTTGTTTACTTTATCAGTCATGCTGATCTCACTTGAGTCTGTATCTTCTGACGAGTCTTGTCCACTCTTTGGTATATACTCCTCTCCACTGTCATCTGAGGTGGGATCAAATAGCTCATCCGAATCAAAATCAAGGCGCCCTCTCATCTTTAAAATAAAAAAAGCAGAAAATTAAAAAGTATTACGGAGATTCATTATTTTTCTAGACGTTTTGCAGTGCATACCTCTATGCTTTTTGTTCTCCTTAACCTAGGACAAGACTGGTCAGCAGCGGTCAGGTGACAATCAGAGGATGGACTCCATGTCTGTGGTTTAAAAAAGGTTAGGTTACTTTAGCACCAAGATGAGATAAAAATGTATAAAATCCTTGAAAAAGATGAGCACAAATTTAAACAATGAAACACAGATTGCGCACTTCCAATTATAACACCCAAAGCTACACTGACTTAGAATGGACGTCAAAACATAAAAAGTTCAACTGGTTTTGAGTAATCTATGCCATAGACACAGCATCATTACAGTCAATAATGGGTACAGTATAACTATGCTGCGGCGGTCCCCACTAATAACATGCACCAGAAAAGTAAAACACTTTAACATACGTGTCCCCACTATGTTAGCAAAACCAGAGTGTGCTTGGAACATGAGTGACATCACAGCTAAACAAGTCTTGCTGAAATCCAAAAGCACAGACTAAATCGTTCCGTTACAAAAACCAAGTCTGACCTGTGTGCTGGGGCCTGGAGGTGACTCTGTAACCATCTCAGCCGGTCTGGACACCTGAGACGCTGAAGACTTGGCTGCTTGAGGTTGGTCCTTGGTCTGAAAAGAGAATTCATCATTAATCAGTAGCTTGGCAAGAAAAACACCTATTTCCTTTCAAAATCAACATCAGGGACATTCAAGAAAGTAATGTGTACATTTTTATTTCAGTGGCTCTACCTTATGCATTTATCTATAGGTTCAAAAAGGTTGTGGTTTAATTATTTTCGTAAATTTCCGATATAGCAGTGCAGTGATTGTTCCCTCTGATGAGCTAATGTAAAGTGTCACAGGACTGAACTAGGCCTTAGTAGAAGAACCGTGGTAAAGTACAGATGCACATGGTGTCTGTGCTATAGCCTTTGAGTAATCTATGCCGTAGTGTTGACGTTAAGACAGACACAGCATCATTACAGTCAATAATGGGTACAGTATAACTATGCTGCGGCGGTCCCCACTAATAACATGCACCAGAAAAAGTAAAACACTTTCACATACGTGTCCCCACTATGTTAGAAAAACCAGAGTGTGCTTGGAACATGAGTGACATCACAGCTAAACAAGTCTTGCTGAAATCCAAAAGCGCAGACTAAATCGTTCCGTTACAAAAACCAAGTCTGACCTGTGTGCTGGGGCCTGGAGGTGACTCTGTAGCCATCTCAGCCGGTCTGGAGACATGAGACGCTGAAGACTTGGCTGCTTGAGGTTGGTCTTTGGTCTGAAAAAAGAATTCATCATTAATCAATAGCTTGGCAAGAGAAACACCTATTTCCTTTCATGAACAACATCAGGGACAATTAAATGTAATGATTACTTTCTTGAGTATAGGTGGCTCTACCTTGTGCATTTATCCATAGGTTCTATGTATATATTCTGATATAGCAGTGCAGTGATTGTTCCCTCTGATGAGCTAATGTAAAGTGTCACAGGACTGAACTAGGCCTTAGTAGAAGAACCGTGGTAAAGTACAGATGCACATGGTGTCTGTGCTATAGCCTTTGAGTAATCTATGCCGTAGTGTTGACGTTAAGACAGACACAGCATCATTACAGTCGATAATGGGTACAGTATAACTATGCTGCGGCGGTCCCCACTAATAACATGCACCAGAAAAATAAAACACTTTCACATAGTGTCCCCACTATGTTAGAAAAACCAGAGTGTGCTTGGAACATGAGTGACATCACAGCTAAACAAGTCTTGCTGAAATCCAAAAGCACAGACTAAATCGTTCCGTTACAAAAACCAAGTCTGACCTGTGTGCTGGGGCCTGGAGGTGACTCTGTAACCATCTCAGCCGGTCTGGAGACATGAGACGCTGAAGACTTGGCTGCTTGAGGTTGGTCCTTGGTCTGAAAAAAGAATTCATCATTAATCAATAGCTTGGCAAGAAAAACACCTATTTCCTTTCAAAATCAACATCAGGGACATTCAATTAAAGTAATGATTACATTTTTGATATCAGTGGCTCTACCTTATGCATTTATCCATAGGTTCAAAGGTGTGTTAATTATTTTCGTAAATTTCCGATATAGCAGTGCAGTGATTGTTCCCTCTGATGAGCTAATGTAAAGTGTCACAGGACTGAACTAGGCCTTAGTAGAAGAACCGTGGTAAAGTACAGATGCACATGGTGTCTGTGCTATAGCCTTTGAGTAATCTATGCCGTAGTGTTGACGTTAAGACAGACACAGCATCATTACAGTCGATAATGGGTACAGTATAACTATGCTGCGGCGGTCCCCACTAATAACATGCACCAGAAAAGTAAAACACTTTCACATACGTGTCCCCACTATGTTAGAAAAACCAGAGTGTGCTTGGAACATGAGTGACATCACAGCTAAACAAGTCTTGCTGAAATCCAAAAGCACAGACTAAATCGTTCCGTTACAAAAACCAAGTCTGACCTGTGTGCTGGGGCCTGGAGGTGACTCTGTAGCCATCTCAGCCGGTCTGGAGACATGAGACGCTGAAGACTTGGCTGCTTAGGTTGGTCTTTGGTCTGAAAAAAGAATTCATCATTAATCAATAGCTTGGCAAGAGAAACACCTATTTCCTTTCATGAACAACATCAGGGACAATTAAATGTAATGATTACTTTCTTGAGTATAGGTGGCTCTACCTTGTGCATTTATCTGAGGGCGGCACGGTGGCTGAGTGGATAGCACTCTCGCCTCTCAGCAAGAAGGTCCTGGGTTCAAATCCCGGCCGGACCAGGGCCTTTCTGAGTGGAGTTTGCATGTTCTCCCCGTGTCTGCGTAGGTTTCCTCCGGGTACTCCGGTTTCCCCTACCACTAAAAATATGTCCAATAGTTCTGGCATGCGCCTCCTGTACTGGCCCCGCTCCCATTTCTGTGTGGAGTGAGAGACAAATGCCCAAAATTAACAATTGTAAACCGCTTTGAGACTCAGATCTGCAGTGAAAAGGCGGTATATAAATAAAAACTTACTTACTTACTTACTTACTTATCCATAGGTTCTATGTATATATTCTGATATAGCAGTGCAGTGATTGTTCCCTCTGATGAGCTATTGTAAAGTGTCACAGGACTGAACTAGGCCTTAGTAGAAGAACCGTGGTAAAGTACAGATGCACATGGTGTCTGTGCTATAGCCTTTGAGTAATCTATGCCGTAGTGTTGACGTTAAGACAGACACAGCATCATTACAATCGATAATGGGTACAGTATAACTATGCTGCGGCGGTCCCCACTAATAACATGCACCAGAAAAGTAAAACACTTTCACATACGTGTCCCCACTATGTTAGAAAAACCAGAGTGTGCTTGGAACATGAGTGACATCACAGCTAAACAAGTCTTGCTGAAATCCAAAAGCACAGACTAAATCGTTCAGTTACAAAAAACAAGTCTGACCTGTGTGCTGGGGCCTGGAGGTGACTCTGTAGCCATCTCAGCCGGTCTGGAGATATGAGACGCTGAAGACTTGCCTACTTGAGGTTGGTCTTTGGTCTGAAAAGAGAATTTATCATTAATCAATAGCTTGGCAAGAGAAACACCAATTTCCTTTCATGAACAACATCAGGGACAATTAAATGTAATGATTACTTTCTTGAATATAGGTGGCTCTACCTTGTGCATTTATCCATAGGTTCTATGTGTATATTCTGATATAGCAGTGCAATGATTGTTCCCTCTGATGAGCTAATGTAAAGTGTCACAGGACTGAACTAGGCCTTAGTAGAAGAACCGTGGTATAGTACAGATGCACATGGTGTCTGTGCTATAGCCTTTGAGTAATCTATGCCGTAGTGTTGACGTTAAGACAGACACAGCATCATTACAGTCGATAATGGGTACAGTATAACTATGCTGCGGCGGCCCCCACTAATAACATGCACCAGAAAAATAAAACACTTTCACATAAGTGTCCCCACTATGTTAGAAAAACCAGCGTGTGCTTGGAACATGAGTGACATCACAGCTAAACAAAACTTGCTGAAATCCAAAAGCTCAGACTAAATCGTTCCGTTACAAAAACCAAGTCTGACCTGTGTGCTGGGGCCTGGAGGTGACTCTGTAGCCATCTCAGCCGGTCTGGAGATATGAGACGCTGGAGACTTGCCTACTTGAGGTTGGTCTTTGGTCTGAAAAGAGAATTCATCATTAATCAATAGCTTGGCAAGAGAAACACCTATTTCCTTTCATGAACAACATCAGGGACAATTAAATGTAACGATTACTGTCTTGAATATAGGTGGCTCTACCTTGTTCATTTATCCATAGGTTCTATGTGTATATTCTGATATAGCAGTGCAGTGATTGTTCCCTCTGATGAGCTAATGTAAAGTGTCACAGGACTGAACTAGGCCTTAGTAGAAGAACCGTGGTATAGTACAGATGCACATGGTGTCTGTGCTATAGCCTTTGAGTAATCTATGCCGTAGTGTTGACGTTAAGACAGACACAGCATCATTACAGTCGATAATGGGTACAGTATAACTATGCTGCGGCGGTCCCCACTAATAACATGCACCAGAAAAGTAAAACACTTTCACATACGTGTCCCCACTATGTTAGAAAAACAGTGTGCACAGCTGAACAAGTCTGAGAGAAACTCAAGATCATAGAGACTGAAACATACTTTTACAAAAACCAAGTCTGACCTGTGTGCTGGGGCCTGGAGGTGACTCTGTAGCCATCTCAGCTGGTCTGGTGACATGAGACTCAGAGGACATGGCTGCATGAGGTTGGTCTTTGGTCTGAAAAAATAATTCAAGAGAAGACATATCTTTAATTTCCATTCTTGACCACAGATTAAATACTAATCAAACACTTAAAGCTCATTATAGAATTATGTATAATGAGTCAGATGAAAATTGAAAAAGAAATGTCAAAAACCCTGACCATCAGTTATGATATACCTGTGTTCTCCATGGGCAATCAGTCCCCCCATAGTCGTAGGTTATTTCTTCCCCTGGCTGTATATCTCTCAGGGCAAATAGACAGAGGTATGGTTTAGCTGCATGTACAATTCTCTTCATTTTACAATTTGGATGCCGATGGTCATCATTGACCCATCGTCCCAGGCTACCATCCTCTTGGGCAGCGTCAATACTTGGAAAAAATAAGGTAAAAAATGAGTGTGACTGTACAAAATTACTATGACATATCATTACTCTCATTATAGTATGTTTTTCAATCCTTTTATACCTCTCTTTAAATGTTTAATTTAGCCCTTACCACCATGATTTGTCTTTCCAACGGAAGTCGAACATAAAAACTGAACATTTTTTGTGATAGGTCCTCCTCCTCCTTTCAGACTCTTCAAATGGGATCAAATGCCCCCTATATTGCACCACAAAGTCTCCTTTAAAGAAATTACTTTTGGCAAACACACCTCGCCCTGTGGAAAGACATTACAAATGTTGAAAAATGATAGAGCTAATACATTTTTTTTCTTCATAAAATTAAAAAAACAAAACATGTTTTATATCCTACTAAAATGAGGTTACGAACATACTAACATTTGGAATTTAGCACACACACAGTACCTTTAAAGGAGTTAATGTACTTTATTTCTATTTCCTCCGTTTTATCCACTCCTTTTTCAATGTGCCTTGTTGCATCCAGGAGGGGACACGTCCTCTTTCGCTTTCCAGCCATAAATCTTATAAATAAAAATAATACAATAAATAATAAATCAAAATACAAAGTATGGAGTATTAGCAATATTACAGCCATTACTTTAAATGCAAAATAGCAACACAAATCCTTTCTGACACATTGACAGTATTACTAATGTCCAAGCGACAATGAAATCTTTCACTTTCTTTCAACATGTCACAATTACCTGGTTTAAGAAAAAAATGTTTCTGAATGATAGTCAAGATACAGTATCATCCTCCTCAGACCACGTGCATCGCTCCCCATAGGCGATCAGCTAATAATAGCTAATAGCACTGGCTGTTAGCGCTATGTTAGCATCAGGCAATGCCTTCTCAAACATCTACATTTCACACCACTACCACATACATACAGGCTCAAGTAGGCATTTCCCAAAGAAATAAATGCCATACATTTGGCGTATTGTAGCTTACCTGTCGGAGTCTCCTGATTCTCAGATGCCGTGTGCATGCGCCACACCTGCTGCTTGTCTGGTCTCCTCTCTCACGCTGCTACTAGCGCGGCGCTCCGCTAACGTAAGCTTTTATATATTTTTTTATTTTTTTTTTTTTTTATGTCTCTTTTTTTTCTAACTAATGCTTATACTTATTGATGACAATACATTATGAAATCAACTTTAAAAGCTGTTTCGCACCGGCTTTCTGGGAGTTGTAAGAACTACAACTTCCAGAAATAGAAGTGACGCTAACATTGATAGTTAAGAGAACCAATCAGAAGCAGCAGTGGCTGATCTGAAGAATTCCCTAAGAGGCTATTGGTTTAGTTTTGGCGCGGACAGATAGTTTGGCGCGGACAACACTAGGGATGCTGCTTTCGTTGCGATGAAAAAGAAAAAATGAAGAAAAAAGCTAATCATGTGGACACACAGATTTTATAGATTTAATTACTTTTTATGATGGGATTCCAAGAGAAGTGTAACCCTGCCAAGAAATCTGTAAGTTGAGTATCAAAACACTAACAATGGCATTCAAAACATGAAGTAAGATGCATATTGTATTGCGCTTTCAACGAATCGAATTGGTAAGATACAAGCTACTGCTACTACTTACTAGGTGACACTAGCTCCTGCTATTATTTTTCTTCTAGCTCCGCAACTCCAAGTTCAAGGCTTAAAGATGCACTGCGTAACTTTTCAGATGCTTGCCGTTTTGCTGTCGTTCCTTTGCTTAGAATGAACCTTCGTAACGTGTTTCATTCCAAAAAACATGTTCAAAGGCGTCTTTACTGCTTAAAAATCCCAAATATTCCACTGGAATGGACCGCCTCTTTGCAGATATGACTCGTAATTTGGTTTTTGAGGTGGAAGCTACTGTGATTTATTTATGATTTATTTATGCCACTTATTTATGTCGATCTTCCAATATAATGACCTATATTTAGGCTTTATGAAATGTATGCATGCATACTGATCCTAATTGTTATTACACTATTACAAGGCCAGGTTTCGGTTTGGACTTGCTTTCTGTGAGGACATCTGACGACAGTCTAGTCCGAGGTTAATTTTGTCCTGAAAAATCTGATGGTGCGGTAGGAGGCTCTGCAGCCACAAGCACACACATTCATTACCCACCTTTTACTCTTTGGATTCTATTTTTTGCCCCTTTCTGAGCTGGTCTCAATTATATATTTTTTCTTTTCCTATAAACTTAAAGCGTACCTAACTTTAAAAATCACCAAAAAGTAGGAATATTTAATATAACTAGTTTGTAGCTCCAATACAGTTTGGTTTTATCACATCGGCCTCAGTTGCATCTTTAGATAAATGTTTGAGTGAAAAAGAGAGTACCAGCCTTTACTCAACCAATCAGCTCACAGTTTTTAGAGACAAAATGTTTACTTGCAAAACAATGACAGCGTGTTAGGTTCTGATTTGTTCACAAAATGTGACTTAAGCAGGACTTCTGTTGGAACAAAGACGATGTATTTACAAAACCAAAAAAAGTTAGGTATTGCAAATTTAATGCGTGCGTTTTAATATCATATTTGTAAATATTTGTACATAACTTAAAATACCTCTTACCTATCTGTTTACTTTAAATACATGGAACATGCGGGTTGCACTTCTCATTGTCAGTTTGCTGCTATTTCAACATGTGTTTCACGTTTGTGATAAACTTGGTCATGTTGCGTGAGTATTTATGTTATGTAGTTATTGTAGTACAGTTGTCCCTCGCAATAACTCGGGCAATAACTTTCATGTTATTCAGAGCAAACTTTACACTGTTTCAGACTAAACCACAACTTGACCTGGATTATACCATGACTTGACCGAGACTTGCTGTACTCTCTGTGAGTGTGTTGACATTGTTTAATTGTTTGTAATGCTGCAAATACAAAGTGAAGGAATTAAAATATATAGTACTTTTTTGTAAAATGCATAGTAAACTATTTCTTTGGTGAAGTTACTGATTCACAACATGAAAAATAGCCTATACTGGTTGTGTATTTTGTCCTATTTTTTCTGGCAACTAGTGGTTACTACACAATAACATAGATATTCAGATAAATAGTGGTTGTAATATTCTTCAAGGGACAAAAGATGTCAATAGGGCTAAAGTCCCTCTTCGCAAATTGGTTTTTATCACTTGGTGGGGACAAGTGTGTGTAAAGTGTGTGTACATGCAGTACCATGTCTGACCAATAGAGGACGATACTGAGCTAAACACACTTTAGCACTCTTTTTCGGTTTTTGTGCATCATGGGGTCCATCCTGAAAATTTGTCAGGGCATCCCCCTGGCCTTCTTTTCAATGAATCTAATGCTCACCATGGTGGGGACCAGCATTTTGGTCCCCATCATGTTTCTGGTCCCCACGTCGTGACTGTGCTACTGGCCAGTAGTCCCCACCATGTGGTATAGACAAAACACACACACACACACACACACACACACACACACACACACATACACGTTTTTGTTACCTGGTGGGTCCCTTTGACAGGGCCGTTCAGAATGGGACCCATAGACATAATCTTTTTTTACCAAGACTTTAAGTAATACAAAACAGTCAATAGAAACCAAACAACTATTTTAAGGAATTTTATTTTAGATTTTGTTTTCGAATTGCAGTGATTCTATTTTTGACATAGAATTTAATGCCACTCCATGTCCGATGTCTAAGGTCATCTGGTGAGGCATTAATGCAGGCCAGGCAGTGAGACTTCCCAGGGACCTTTCCAGTCTGTATGAAAGGTGTCATGGTCTTCTCCACAGCCTTCACCTCAGATGCAGACCATGGCTTTCTTACACGTTCTAGGGAGAGAAAAAAAAATATATTAGCAATATACACTCCCAGGGTGAGGACCAAGCAGCCTGGCTGTAATCCCCCACCTGGTACACTTACCAGAAGGGGCACTGCCACTACCATGGGGTGCATCTGGATGAATGGTTGAAGGTTCTCCGCTTGAAGTTTCTTTTAGCCCGTCCGTTTGTGAGAGGATCTCTACTGCTCTCCCTGTCGCACAGAAAATAAAAATACAAGTGGCCTTTAGGGGAAAAAAATCATACATATTTTAATAATATCAAGAATTACCTTCAGGCTCAATTTGTATCTGGTCGAGGCTCTTTCCTTCGAATTCCGTCACTCTTCCCTGCTCCATGGCCATCAACACTTTGCTGATTTTGGCCAGCTCCAGTGTCCCCTCTGGTAGTCTGTAATATTGCCTGTGGATGCGAATGTCATGGCCGAGGAAGTTGGCAAGTATGTCCATCTCATTCTCTTTCATATTGAGAACTGTAGACATAGTAGCTATGTGCTTTCTAAGTTTGGTTGAGGATAGCATCTCTGGATGCACCGCACCACATTCTTTGGCTACCTGGCGTAGGGAGTCTGATCCCCTGATGTGGGTGTCTGCGCCCGGGCGGGAAAAGAAGTATGGGTTATGGTCAGAGATGGAACAGGCCCTTCTGTTCTCCACCAGCACCTCCATCGAAGCAATCATTTCAGGAGTCAAAAGAACCGGCACTTTCCGACTTCTTTTCCCTTTAATTTCAATGCGTTGAAAATGCTGACACAGCTTTTTCTCAAGTTGGGACAGTCCCAGAGCAATGTCAGAATGGATCCCAGTCTTACTTCTTAAGGTAAAGGCTGTCAGTGGCATCTTTGAAACCTCACCTTCCCTTCTTCGATTGAAAATGATGACCTCACAAAGAGTCAAAACTGCCAGTTTAGACCAATGCTTAGACGTTGGCTCACTTATTAGGGTTTGCACATATTCAGGTCGACATACCTCAATATGTGCATGCATGGCTCTAACGTCCTCAGTCAGAGGGAGCAGGTCCGGAGTGTTCCACTTGGCTTGCCGGAGGGTCTGTAGGGCAGCAGAAGAAACACAGACGTCCCACCTCTTCTCAAAAAGCAGCCGGCTTCGTTGGAGGTTTTTAATAAATAGTTCATCAACACAATGCTCCATTTTTGAGTCACATTCAAGAATATCTGCTAGCTTTCTGAGGCTATGGCCGAGTTTGAGGGCCAAGGATGGAGTCTTGTATTGATTTGTTTCCTCATCATATCCAGCCACAGACCTGACTGCATCAATCACATGGTTAAAGTTGGAAGGAATAAAGAAATCCTTAATTGTTTTCAGTTTCCCTGCGGTTTTTGCTTCGTTAATTAACCTACCGACTTCTCTCATTTTCTGCCTAATGTAATCATGCTTAGTCTTATCATGCCCGTGTTTTAAGTACAGGTGCTCTCCGAGTCTCAGAATCCCCTTTTCTGCTTTGACAACACCCGTGACCTCATCCTGATGCATTGCCGAAATTAAAGACCACAGCTTTTTGCTGATGCCCTCCGGTACAGGCTGGGCTAGGGAGCAGAGGGACTGGACCCTACTTCTACCTGGTTTAGCCTGGGCATCTTTCTGTGAAAGCCGGCACCTGGCCACATGCCTCCACAGCGACTTTCGCTTAAGCAATGCCCCACAGTCTATACAGTGCAAAAAACTCACTGGATTTAACTGGGGAATTTGGCTGTTTAGCTGGGACTAAAGTTCCAATGCCGGCCTTTAAAACCTCAAAATTGTGCTCACGGTTTCCACTATTCAATCAATCAATCAATCAACGTTTATTTATAGAGCGCCTTTCCTACACAAGGCAACGCAAAGCGCCTCACAACCCATATAACATCATGCATAAATCATCAAAAATTAGAATTTAAGTAAACATAAAAAGACAGATTAAGAGCACAAGATATATAAAATCACACAAGTAGTTAAAAACGTAAAAAATTAAAATCACACAAGGGATTACAATCATAAATAATCATAAATAATCATAGCGCATTAAAAAGATTAAAGATAAAAACAAATGTAAAATCATTCACTTGTATGCACAGCTAAAAAGAACTGTTTTCAGTTCAGTTTTAAAAACTGCCAGAGTAGACGCCTGTCTCACACTCTCGGGAAGACGGTTCCAGACTCTAGCTGCATGAATCTGAAACGCAGCCTCCC